TTTGCAGAAACTGTTGATTTTCAAACAGCAGATTATCAACTCGGACGCTTTATTGAAGCCAATCAGTGCCTCCGTAAACAGAAGGAATCAGCTGACGGCGGCGCTGATTACCGCTGATTACACTCGGCGGCGGCGCGGTGATCAAGAAATTGTAGTTTGTTTTTTTTCTGCTGTAATTTAACTGTTGGACAGTTACGTAACGTGTTTGCTGTCAGCTTCATAAATCACAGGACGGCTTCGTTTTGATCCACATTTTATTTTATAATTATGACGCAGCTCTTTTTTTCTGCTGTATGTAAAGTTTTGTTTTCGGTTTTTCTTGCACGCGATCCCTCCGCCTTCTATCTGGAAACCTGCAGCTTCATCGATCTCAGGTTTTAATGATATTTATGCCTCTCAACAGGCAACTAACTGCTGCTCTGGTTTTGTTTTCATCACGCTTCCTTCTGGCATTTTACGAGGCCAAAGAGCGAGATGGAAACGCGTGGCGACGCCGCACGAAAATAGCCTCGATGAAATCAATTTTTATCCCGCTGTAAAATTATACGGGTCTAATATTTCTGGTGGATTCATCAGGAGAGCGTCGCCTCGCCGGCTGCAGCTCCTCTGACCAAAACCGGCACATCTGGTTCCTAACGAGGGCGACGCAGCCGGTTAATTAGCGACACCTTTATCAATTACCCGCTGACCAATCGGAGAGCGGCGCGCGCCGACCGGCCGCCGAGCAGCTTGTTTTCGTGGCCTGAGAGCAGTTTGCGGGAGTCCGGCTGAAGGGCGGATCAACCTTGACCCAGTTAGCGAAGCAGAGAGGAGCCACAGAGTCTCGGTTCCCCTCCTCCCCTCCCCCCCGCCCCCCCGATCGGACTCACCAGCTGTTGTGCGAGATACGAATCCATCACCTGCCGTTTCAGGGCTTGTTTACTGACCTGAGGGCTATTATTACACTGGACCGCGTGTAGAACAAGCACAGCGGCGTCTGTGATGGTTTCCACGCGAGTTAGAACAAAGAAGCTCCACGAAAACCGGATGTCTGTCGGAGAGCAGGCGGGGATGTGATGCTGTGATGCTGTGATGCTGCTGTGGTGTTATGATGACTGTTGGGTTTGTTGGCATGAAAGAGCATCATGTGAGCAGTGAAATTATTATAACCATTAACAGCCACGATTTAAAACTGAATCAGTTGTAACCTCTGAAAACAAGAACTTTTTCATTAAAGAATAAAAATGAGTCAACAACATGAACCAAATTATGATTTTAATTCCAACGTTCTCCAGATGTTCTTCACGATTAGTCACCAAACTACCTGCGTTTCATTTCTAAAAAATGTGAGCTAATGCTAACGTAGCGTCAATGCATGCTGTCCACAAGGGTCCACGTGATGTAAATCAACCAGGATCTACTCGGACCTCTCTGTAGTTAGGATCCGATTATTGGATCCAATAGTCAGCATCTTTCCGGTTATTTCTTTGAACCACGTTTGGCTTTAATGCAGCTACATTCCTCTCTGTATGCCATGCCCCATGTATCAGCCAATTAGGGACATGAAAAACATAAACAAACAGCGTTTTAACAAAGTTCTATGCTGGAATCTGTTATTTTAAACTTTGACTGCAGGATTTTCATCCTTATTTTGATGCGAGTCGGTTCCAAACATCAGGCTGTGATCCTTTCTTTCTTTGTTTTCTGCAGGATCAGAAAATTTTGTTGTTTATCCGCCATGTTCTCCATCAAACTCTGAGCTGTTGTAGCCGAACCATCGTCACTACGGTTGCTTCTGTCTTCATCACTTGTCGCTCGTCCAGAATTTATGACTGCACATCATTTACCATCAACAGTTTTTAGTTGAAGTGGAGGAGCTCTGATTGGCACGACGAAGCCCAAACGCAGCGAAAACCTCTAAAGTCTCCAGATATCTTGTGATCTGCAAAGCTGCAGCCTTTCAGAAACATCCATCGTGTGTTTTTATATGTTTGCAAAAACCTATTATTTCCCCTCTGCACCTCCAGCGAACCAATCATTGCTGCGTAGCTGATGACAGCTGATGCACCAGAGCAGGAATCTCAGATTTAAATTCTAGTATTCTGAAAAAAAAATAAATCCTGGCGTGTAAAAATCCAGCACTCGAGATTTAAGCATGTAAAGTGTCTTAGTTTGCACCGTTTTAATTCAGCATTCTAGCCTGCTATGTTTTTGCAATTAGCATGAAATTCAACGTACAATTGAGGTCGATGGAAATGTCACTGGTTTTGCAGGTTTAGCCTTAAAAGTTGAAATCTAGCCTCCATATTTCATCACCGTACTCCTATCTGCTGTAGCTACACCATCTTCATCGCTAATGTTTGCCTCCTCCAAGCCAGTCGCATCAGTTATCGCTCTACAAATTAAGGATCACGTATCATTCATTATTAACGGTGTTTTGATTAAAATAGTCGCTGCAGGACTTTGGAAGGAGCTCTGGTTTGGACGTGGTTTCCTCTGACGTAGCGTTGGACTCTAACGTCTCCAGATATCTTGGGCTGTGTTTCACTACGAGATGATCAGCGTTGGGCGAACTCGTCTGTCATGTGAAAGAGATCCAGATATGAGATATAAGCATGTAAACTGTCTTAGTTGACACCATCTGACTTAGCCTGACAGCTTTTTATTAATTAGCTTCGAGCTGCAGCAGATAGAAATGTCATAAACGCTGAAATCTAACTTCCTGACGCTTACAGGATGAGAGACTTCTCGTGGCTGTTTTTTAAAGTTTTTCCTCCATATTTTATCATTTAGCTGCTGTAGCTGCATCTCCATCGCTAACGGTTGCTTCCTGCATCCATAGCGTTTTATTTAAAGTAGTTTGGTGGAGCTTTGATGTGGACGTGGTTTCCATCAACGGAGTCCAAACATACTGGGGATCTGGAGATGTCCTGTGCTGTGTTTCACATAATCATGATCTCGTCCGGCGTGTGAAGGAGATCTAGACATAAGCATGTAAACCGTCATTTTCTAATTAGCTTTAAAAAAAATTCAACTGCGGCAGATAGAAACGTCATAAACGCTGAAATCTCGCGTCCTGACAGCTACAGGTTCAGATCTCAGAGGATGAGAAGCTTCTGGTTCATACATTTATAAGACGTCTCTTATCTGATGCTGCTAATGACGGCTCTCTGCGCCTCCACAAGGCTTTGATATGAATGAAATTTCCGTCTTCAGCTGTTTGATGCCGCTGCCTCCTCCTGTGTAATTCATCCTCTTCCTCTCGTCCTGCACTCAGCCTGTTTCCCTGTGAATCCTCCTCGACTCTTTTTATTCTTCTTTGTCTGTATTTTTAAGGATTTTATTTAGAGGAACATGCCGCTGCTGCTTCTGGTTCGGCCGCTGCAAAGCTTCCAGGACAACTCGACGCTCTCGGGCCGTTGCTTCGGGGTCACGGGACAGAACCGATTGTTGACACGCTCCATTTTTCTTCATTACGCTGATCTGACGTCTCCGTGTGAAACGGGCTGACGGTCGGCTTTGATTTATGCCGCCTTATCGCCGACTGTTGGCCTCGCGCTGCAGCTTTGATGTCTCCGTTTCATCCCGGTTTGGAAGTCGACGCCGCAACACGTCGGCTCACAGGTTCACGTATTCTCTGTGCGCTCGAACCACGGCGGTCAGAAATATCAGCCCCATGAAGGTCTGAAATTTGCCAAACACCTCTGACATTTCCTCTCGATNTAGTTCCCAAACTCAAGATTTACTCCTTTTTGAATAACGTTGGTGAAAATCTGAGAAATTCTGCCGTTTAGCTCAGCTGCCTTCACAG